TGTTCCCCCTCTTCATCTGTCTCAGCTTGCTACTCCACGCATGAGCCTGGTGATGCCTCAGGATTCATGACTACCTTTGGCTGAAGGGTGAAATATAAGTATAATGAATCATCACTATCACTTACTTAAATGTTCAGTACATCTCTTGGACACAGTCTTTACACTTACAAACAGCAGATTTTGGGGCTTCTTCATCATAGCCAGCCTTTTCTGTTCCCTACACGCACCCCTTCTCTGAAACAGGGTTCTGGGGGAGTGAAAAGCTTGCTCACTACTTTGTGACATTTTAGTTTGCATTATTACTCAACTGTGGCTTCTGAATATTTTCTAATGGACCACAGCTAACTATGGTTGGGTTGGGTTGGGGTTATTTTTTGGTAATCCATGGATTATATTGCTTCTTGTGACCTAGAGTTGTTGCAAAGCTACCATGCAAGATCTGATTGTATATTGGCTGAGGGAATATGTACAGAACAGCCGTCCGGAAACATACTGTAAGTCTTCTTTTAGTATTAGGATGACCTTCACAGTTATGCAGATTGCTTCACAGTTATGTAGACTCTAAAAGTGCATGACAGAAATTACCACAAAACCCCTTTTTTCACTGTCAGGGAGGGGGCTTTCTGTGTCCTTCTCCTTCCACCCCAACTCAAAGTGCGTTGCTGTCCTAACTGCAGTTTAGACTGTCTAATTTTAATATACAACACTGGAAGAAAAAGTGATTTTTATATTGCTAAGTTTGTGATTTATCTTGTCTTTTTGTATTGATTTATGTGGCTGCTCTTGTGCCAATGGCTTATGCAATTAAGAATTCTAATCTGATCCCTATTTTTTGCCCTTCTAATTCTCTAGGTGCTCCATTAGGAGACCAGCTCTATATGTGCAGTGATTCATCTACATATTGAAATGCTCAAACAGGAATGCTGTGATGTTGTTGAAAGATGGTACCTGGAAGGGTCTTGTCAATCATGATGTCCAGCTGGCAATCAAAAAGCATAAGCTTAGTGAGCACAAACCTTGTGAGGAATGCCCGTTCATGGGAGATTTTGGGGAGTGGTGGCTTTCCAGGGTGCAATGTATACTGGACACCACATGACCCACTAATGTCAAAATGCAGCTGCGACTGCTCCAATTCTGTACCACCCTTGTTCAGTCCATTGCTTCTTTGTAGACTGATTTTCCTCCTGATCAAGGCAGGTAGGTTTTGTTTCTGAGATGTCTTGTGGCAGTAGCTCCTGCTTCCTAGAAAGAGCAAGAGAGTGCTTCTCTTTTTCAGCACATAGTTAAGACAACTTACATAAAATCGTGATTTTTTAATTTTTTGTCTCTGGAGAAAAAGGCATGGAGAGAGCAAGTGGCAATAATTAGATGGTAGCAGTAATTAACTATTGGTGTTTGCTGATGAATGAAGGGGAGGGACTGAACTGCTGAACTTGTTCTTTAAGTGCAATCAGGGTTGCAGGATGAAAACTATCTGGGTCTAGTCCCAATAGCATAGTGCATGCCCTAACTCTAATGTCCAAGGGCTACCAATGAAGTTTGCCATTTATGAGGCTTATTTGAAATAGTATGTGGCTGCTATCCTTCTGAATATGAAAATCCAAGTGATGAAAATTAAAGCTAACACATTCAGAAGTGTTCAATGACAGTCTGTTTCTCACATGGTGTTATTAACCTATTGATCTCATTGCCACAGGGTAAGGCTAAAGTCAAACTGTGTAACTGTGAAATGCAAAGCTTTTGTTTCTACATTAAATTACAGTTCTGTTAGTTTGATATCTACCCATACATTAGTTTATACTTCTATTCCCCCCCCCAAAAAAAATTAATAATTTTACCTACCAGTACAACCTTTAGTCTAATATTTTCAAATAGCACAAATCACTGGTGGGTGGTGGGTCGGATCCTCAGCTCTACCATTCCCAATGCACCTGTTTGGCAAATGGGTGGACCTAACCATGCAGCGTGCACGAAGCCCTGACAATCAGCCAGCAATTGGGACTTCAAAGTTCATGCACAGCTCTCTGCAGGAACCAACAATCAGCTGGTTGTTAGGGCTTGCAAAGAGCCACACAGGATGCACAGAACTTTGCTGATGCAGCTACTGGCAGTGCATGCAACCCTATTTTTGGCCCAGCTGTGTCTTTGCCTGCCCACTCTTAATGTCATATATTATGTCAAGTACATGTTGGGGGGAATGGCTTAGCCAAAATAGCCTTGTAGGCCAGCTGGGGAAGCCTGGCAGGCCAAATTAGGCTTTTGGACTGGAGGTTCCCCAACAGAGCATTATTTGGACAGCAAAGCATTGAAAGGCAATCATTCCTTTAACACCTGTATTTCAGCTATGCTGTTGAAGATATTGCCTCTTCCATGAGTAATAACCAAAGTGATCTATTGGGCCCATTTGGAAATTTCAGATGTAGACAAAAATTAGTAAATGATATGCTTTGTTTTCTAGTCAAATTCTACTGTAGTTGATTCTGATCTGGAGCCACCACCGAAAAATTTTGAAGCAGTACTTTAAATTGAGCCTGAAAACAACTAGGCAGCCGGTTAAGTTTCTGTAAGAATGCAGTGATGTGGTTAGAATTCTGTTTTTTTTTTTAATGATATTTATTGAGAATTTAAAATTACAGAAAGAAAAAGGAAAAAGCAAGAAAAAAAAGAAAAGGAAGAAAGGTATACAAAAAAAGAGATTAAACAATATAAGTCAATAAAAACAAAAGTCAAAAAAGAAAAAAAACGAAACACACAATACATCAGAATAAAAAAAATAAATAAACAAACAATTTAAAAGCAAATCCAATATTCCCAAATCCTTATCTTTCATTAACTTGTTTCATCGACCTCCTCACACCTCCCTTTTTTGTATTCTAGTTATTAATTATCTCAGCAAATCCTTTCCATCTTTCACAATATTCTGTCATTAAATTACCTTAATCTATTTTAACCTTATCTTACCATAAAAAACCCTAAAGCTTAAAACTTAAATCTTATTTATACCTAATTCTTTAACAAAACATATTTATACATAATTCTTTTTAACATTTCTGCTAAAGCCAAATAGTTTCATTCCAACATTTTTCTAATACTCATTAATTTTACAATAATTTTCTAAATGAATTTTTAAAACTTTCTTCCAATCTTCATCCATCGTCTCTTCTTCCTGGTCTCGGGTTTTGTCAGTCCTTTCTGTTCCATCCATCTAGTCCATCAACCTGGTGACCTTCTGTCCGAGGCTCTTAAGTCTTTTCCATGTCCCTTCTGCAGGTCTTCTTCATGTTTATACCTGCACTTTACTTTATCTTCTGCTGATCTTATTCTTAATTTCCTTCCTTTCTCTCGGGGAGACTCCAACTTGACAATATCTTTATCCCTTCTCGACAAGTCAGCCCATTCTCCATAGTCGACATTGAAATCCAAAAGATATTTAAAGGCATGTTTCAAAGTCCCTCCAAGATTGAGGGCCCCCACAATTCCAAACTCCCCCTGGCCCAAAGCCAGATCCGAAAAGTCAAAACATCCCTGCATAGGGGGGTCTATCCAACTTCCCATCTCCAGACCAAACAGTACTCCATCTCTCCAAATCTGACTTTCTCCAGGTTCAGTCGTCAAAGACAGCAACTTATGTTCCTGCAAGGCCGCAGCTCTCTCCATTTCTGGTACTTGAGGTTCAGCAACTACCTCCTCCTTTATCTTCTTCACCACTTGCTCTGTCAAAGCACATTCCTGGATTGATTCCTGAGTGGTTACTATATAAGTATTCACTGTTTGTCCAAAATTTCCAACTGCAACAGTCATCAAATCCATCTTCTCATGTAGCTGTTCCAGTAAAGAACTTGTCTTGCAAAAAGCAAGCACTAAAGCTTCTTCTGGGCACATTCTTGTTCAAGGTCAGTGTCTAGTTCCCACGATCTTTTATCTCTACAGCTGTAGAATTCCCCAGATCGACTCCAGCAACAGTTTCACAAGCTCCCTCTAGAGGAAACAATTTCTATTTGTATCCGTCTTTTTAAAAGCAGATTCTAGCAACAAAGTTCCTTTCATTTCCCAGATATTTCGTTCCTTTTAAATGCAAAAGGGAACATTGGAATCAATATGTTTCTCTTTTTTAACTATCTGTCAAAAAAGTTTTTTTATTTAGGGAATTAGCCTAAAAAATGAATATTAGGGAAAATGTTGGAATGAAACTATATGACTCTAGTAGAAATGATATCAGGAGTTATGTATAACTGTGTATTAAGTTTCAAGCTTTAAGGTATTTTATGGTAAGATAAGGTTAAATAAATTAAGGTAATTTGAATAACAGAATATGGGGAAAGATGGAAAGGATCTGTTGAGTTAATTAATAGGTTAAATTGTTAAGATAAATTATTTAATAAAAATTGAGAAAGATGGAAAGAATTTGCTGAAATAACTACTAAACTAGAATACAAAAAGGGAGGTGCGAGGAGGTCAATGAAACAAGCAAATGGAAGTTAAAGATATGTAATATGGGATTTGTGTCATTTTTTCCCCTTTTTTTCTTGCTGTATTGTTGTATTGGTTTTTATGTTTTGTGTTTTTTCCTCTTTTTATGCATTGTAGTGTTGTTTCTTATTTTTTCTCTTTTTTCTGTAATTCTGAAATTATTAATAAATATTTTCAAAAAACCAAAAAAACAAAAACGTTTTGTCCACAGTCAGTGAACTTCCCCAAAGTGTCTGTCTCTGACACCCCGCTCCCAGGATCAAGACGGTGGAAATTCATCTTTCTTTACTCTCTCTTCTGCAGGTTTAAACAGTCTTAAAAGATTCCCTCCTCTTCTCCTGCTTCCAAGGGGGGTTTAGTGATTTTAACTGATGGAAATTTAGTCCTTTACAAACGACTTTCCAGACTCTAGCTTGCAATGTCTTTGCTTCAATCTATTTGCAAAAGCGGAAGGCAGACTTCCTGTTTAGACCTTCCCGCTTCGGTGCCAAATAAAAAAGTTTCTTAATCCAATTTTCCGTTCTACTCACGGGCAGTTGTTTAAAATCCAATTGTCCACAGGAAAAAGTCAGCACTCTCCGGCAACAGCAATGCGGCTTCACTCCGTGAAAAAAGCAGTCTATTCAAAGCACCACGCCATTCACCCCATGTCGCTCCGGATCCCCGAAACCGGGTTTCCCCGCGAGTAGGGGAGGCGCAAAAGGTGCCAGCCGAATCCCACGTCCACAGGCTTCTCCCGCCTGTGGTTTTTAATGGGTCTCCGCCTCGCCGCGGCGGTGAAGACCCTAGTTCTCACGAAGCGGATTCCTTCTGGTCAGAGGAAATCCGCCATTGCCGGAGGCGCTAACCCGGAAGTCATATGTGGTTAGAATTCTGGCCAACATCCTGGAGCTACTTTATGAATCATTTTTCAAGGCAGCCCTACCCAGAGAAGTGCAGGTATATCAAAGATAATGTCGATGTAGCTCATGGTCCACGATGGCTGTTGCTCATTTCGAAGTACCTAAAGATAAAATAAGGTATTGTTCAAGCAGCAGCTTCTTTTGCTCTTATTTTTTGATTGTGCAGCCCACAAATAGATGTGAGGGAAGTATACTGGGAGAAAAGCAAGAGTTCTCTTCGCAGGGAACCCCCAAGGTCCAATGATTCTTCATTCCTGAGATAAACATTATTCTAACACCCACCACTATATGGCTACCACTGTGTCCTGTCATTCTCTACAATAGCTTCCGAATTGTTCTGTGTGTCTCACAGTCTTTGTTAACAACACTAAGTGGAGACCTTGCTTCAGCTCGGCCATCAGCCCCATGCTTCTGAAGCAGGAATATCTGTTCCCTAGTTTCAGAAGTGCTTTTAAAGTTCTGACCGACCATCGCTTGCACCATCATGCAATCTTGCTGAGCATGGCTTTCTTGTAATATTCTCTCTCAGTCAATGATTGAAACATTGCAGCAGATGATAGGAAACATATTGCTCAGCAGTTAAATTCCCTTTATAGGTAGCTGTGATAAGAACACAATAGCAAAATAGTATTGTCTCCTGTGCTGAATGTGGCTTTCTATAACTTTCTTTGCTTTTAAGAGAGGAGAATACTTGTAGGCTGAAATTCCGTGATTTGGCTGTTGAGTGTTTTAAGTTTGATTGGAGTCATGGATTATATAATATGATTATGATTATGTTGTTGTTGTTGATGTTGATGATATGATCACAGTCCATCCATTCCTGGGCACACATAGAAAGGGATTCTTACACAGGATATAGTAGAGTCCTTCCCCATTGTGCCAAACTTGAATTGTGCCAAATGCACCATGATGTGTTCTTCTCCCATAACTATGTTGCGTACACACAATCTATCCCCCAAAGAATCCTAGGAACTGTAGTTTACCCCCTCACAGAGCTAGTGTCCCAAGCATGTTTAGCAAAATACAGTTCCCAGAATTCATTGTGGGGAAGTTGTGTGCTTTTAACGTATGGTGTGTTACACAACTATGGATTTCACATGTGCCAGATACAGGTTGGCAGGGAAGGAGGAAGGGGAGCAAAGGTCTCCATCATGTCCAATGATAATCCTTACCCAGCTCTTTGGGATGCATAAATGGGAGATTATGGGTTGTATTGTATACATAACCAGCCTCCCATATTTGCTTTTAGTTTCAAAGACAATCCTGAAGTATGCCAGAAGCAATGCATTCTGTGAGCATATTGCACATTTCTTTGGGGCTGAACCCCTGAAGAAATATTTTCAGCAAATCACAGGTTTTATGCTGTCCTTGGGTCTGTTGCAATCTCAACTGCCGAAGCTGCATAATGCACATTGATTTCTGTTTGATATTCCAAGAGGGAGAAAGCTGTTTAATCATTTGCCTTCTGACTTGTTAATAAAGAATCTGTCTCATTTAATAAGTTTATCTGAGATAAAACTACAGTCTTTGCCACAATATGACATCCCCTTTTCTGTGTTTCTCTAAGGTAATAAATGATGCTGGGAATGAAACAATGCCATTGCAATTTCATATCCATACAGCCTCTCAAAAGCCTCTGTAGTTTGCAGAGCTGTTTAACGGCTAGCAGAGAGCTACTTAATTCACTTGCTGTATGAATTTAAACTGAAACAAGAAAGGTATACAATGGCCCCACATGTCAGAATGGCAGGCAGCACTACTCCCCACAAGAAAACCTTTTGCTACCGTGCGGAATGACACGCCCGCACATAAAAGGCAAACATCTTTTCCATCACCAGTAATTTTCCACCCCATCCCACCTCATTAGTATTCTGTACCTCCAAAACCACAGAGCAGAACAGCCATTTGTAAGCAAAGGGCCTTTTTGTATTGTGCTGGGAACAACAGCAAATTTAAATAGATAGTATGATGTTTATATAACGGAAAGCCTCTAATTTCATTAGATAATTCCAAAAACATAAATAAATAGAAAAACTGCCTGAGAAAGTCTGTGGTGCAAGGTAATCTGGTGGGTTAAGTTAGTTACGGAGGGGGGGTGGAGGGGGGTTGAAGGCAAAGATTACTTTCTTTGAGTCAAATTAGATGGGTACATAAACAGGTATAAGGTAAAAAGGTAAAGGAGGGTGGATGGTTAAGTCCAGTCAAAGGTGACTATGGGGTGTACCACTCATCTCATTTCAGGGAGAGGGAGCTAGCATTTGTCCACAAACAGCTTTCCGGTGGCCAGCAGGACTAAACTGCTTCTGGCACAACGGAACACTGTGATGGAAACCAGAGCGCATGGAAACACCGTTTACCTTCCCGCCACAGTAGCACCTATTATCTACTTGCACTAGTGTACTTTTAAGCTGCTAGATTGGCAGGAGCTGGTTCAGAGCAGCGGGAGCTCACCCCATCGTTCAGATTTGAACTACTGACCTTCCGATAGGCAAGCCCAAGAGGCTCAGTGTTTTAGACCACAATGCCACCTGCCTCCCCTTACATAAATACAGAGCAGGCAGCTACATAGCTTGTTTTTCCTCAGCTTACTAGGGGGGCAGTGAGCCCTATTCTCACTGTGAAGGCAGCGTATAAGAAGGGGAGATTACATCTTCACTCTGCTCTTGAAACAGTAATGGAGATCAATCTCCCATTCTGGGGAGGCAACTTAGGAATCCAGCAGGGCTTACGTCTGAGGAGGGGCGTATGTAGTGTTAGGGGAGGGGTTGTACGTCTGTGGGAGACATGTCATATTCCTTCTGGGGTAGTTTGCCCACCTTTGGTCCCCACCCTGCACTCAGCTGTCACCTGTGGCTCCTAGAAGCTGTCAGCATGTGACAGCAGCCACACACCTCTAACAGCTTTGACTGGCCAGCTAAACGAGGTTAGGATAGCCATAGGGTCTCAAACCCTCAGTGAGTTAGGGACTTTCCCTGCATGCAAAGACAGGCTCCAGCAGAAAGAGAGAATGAGACACAGCAGTTTGACATCACCCCTAGATGTGTACTCCGTTGTCTCTCGAGACAGGCAGATGCCAACAACTAGTACTACTACTATCTCTGAGTAATATACAACTTTGGCATGAACCCACACTAGAATTTGTGGCAGCAGTTTGTAGGGACGGAAAAGTTTGTTTTGCTGGGCAGGTTAGTTCAACAAGTGTTTTCTTTTTCCCTGCCAGCAAATGGTTAACAAACGACAGCTTATGGTTGGCCGGGGTTCCAGGAGAGACAGTTATTAGGTTGGGATAAAGGTTGGGAGAATAGGTTGGGTGATAAGTAGGGAGATAGGGAGTGAGAGGAGAGAGAACTGGTTCTGGGTAGAAACATCCACTCTGAGGAATATATCACAAGCTGGAGAAAGGAGTCTCTGAGCTTAGTGCGAAGGACAGTGTGTGGTGTTCTGTAAGAGTAATAGGCCAGGAATTAACCGGGAGGCTGAGCCAGGAGAAGTAGAAGCTGTGAGGATACAGTCTACTTAGGACTCATTCCAGTCAGGAAGGGAGAGATTCTTCTACAAAAAGAGAAGACTCCTAAACCAGTTAAGAGGGGTGTGGTGATCCCTTGGGTCTGTTACTTGGAGTACCCCAGGAGTAGGGTTGTCAGAGGCGTGTGTAACTGACAGAAAATACCACCTTGTTGAAGAACCAAAGTATTAAGTGGCAACAGCTGTGCAACAACTGCGAAAGAACTTAAGTGAAATAACATTAGAATCTGAAGTATCCTATGTTTTACCCACTTTGTGTCCTATGTTTAATAAAAAAATTCTTGTTTGTTTGATCAAATCCTGCCTGAGACGCCAAATTATTATGTTTTCCCTCACACAAGTCCCCCACAAAATAATCTGGGGTAGTTTGTTGGAATTCAGGTAATTGGTGTTCTGTGAGGTGGGTGCACTATATTTAAGTAAGGACGGGCCGTACAGCATCGGGGGGGAAGTGCCGTTGCACCGTTGCACATTTCTTAACCAAAGTAAAACACTTAGGGTGCAATCCTGAGCCGAGATCCACCAGGCTGAGCAGCTTAGGGTGTAGAAGGTATCTGGCTCAGACAACTGGTTCCCAACTTAGCCAGGCATATGTCTCCAACCCTGACACAACCAGTTGAGCCAAACCTGGTGGCTCTTCAGCCAACATGAGCTCAGAAAAAGGGGCATTCTAGAGGAGTGGTGAGGGGGCAGGGTTGGATCTTAAGCCGTATCCTAAACCCATTCAGCTCATTCACTTGACTTTCCAATCATGGTGTAAGTTCTGCTGCCAAAAAGGGTGTGTGTGTAATTCAGTTCCTAAGATTAGCTAGTGAGTCAGAGCCTGAGGCGAAATATGAATTCTGGACTTCCTAGATCAGTTCAAGTAAGATGATTTGCAGCTAAAAGAAATATCTGGTGCTGAATTGAAGCTATTCTCAAATACAAAGCATCTGAAAAAGACATAGATCACAGAGTTATGTTTTATTTGCTCACAAGGGAATTAGTGGCTCTTTCAGTAGAGCATGAGACTTAACCTCAGGGTTGTGCGTTCAAGCCCCACATTGGGCAAAAGTTTCCTGTATTGCATGCCGTTGGACTAGATGACTCTCTTGGTCCTTTCCAACTCTATGATTCTATGCTTTGGAATAGGTACAAATTAGGGTGTTGTTCAGTCAGGAGATGACAGCTGCCTACAACTTCTAATCTTGCCATTTCCTTGACTGCTGAGCATTCTCTGGTGTACAACAATAATCTGAAATCCTAGCAACTCACAGCATGCCTCCTAATAACTCCCTGAAGGTCCCGTATGCTCTGCTGCTTTGCACATGGCATGAATGTATAACTGGTGTGATCGAAACTTTTTTCTTTCTTTTTTGATGTCTCATGGGGAGTAAATTTTGACTGCAAATTTCCTGCCAGAGACAAAGTGTTTGCTCAGAAATGTCCGTGCACATTTCATATTTATGGCTTAGGTAAGATGCTATCTGACGTCCAGGAAACGTATTTGTGTTTCTCAGCAGGATATTTATAACACAGTATGCCTGATGTTGAAGAAAATTGTCAGATATATGTGTAGAAGTTTATGAAGGAGACCAATTAAAGGAGCATGAGGCTCCAAAGTATGTCTGAGCAGCAGATCACAAAGATGGGAATTAGCAGGAGAATAGAAGACAAAACCAAAGGTCAGAATAACATAGCTAGACAAGAAATATGGGAGAGTTTTAAAAGACCAGATAAGCAAAATTCTCCATTTGATGAGAACTTCAACTTACAACTTGCTGTCACCACAGCAGATGAAGAACAACTGCACCAAGATCAATGGCATTTCATCTTAAGTCAGACAGGTCAGAGTCATACTGCTTTGCAATTTGTGGAGTCTGAAAATCAGGAAAACAAAGTGAAGCCTCCAAAACTATAGTCATTGGGAAAAATTTCAGAAATGTAAACTGAACGAACTTCTGGGGAGGATCATGGTGGACTGACCATCTTCTAATGGAGATAATCACATGATGATTGATGTTAGCCAAGGCAATCTTGGCGATCAAAATTCACTCTAGAGATAAGAGTGAATGGAGGATTAACCTCTAACACTCTGAAAAAGCCACTACCTAAGTTGAAGGACTGAGAAGCTGCCAGCTCCTGAGAACCCAGACGAGGGTGGGTGACTTAAGAGCAAGGAACCAACGTTTTGCCTAACAACCATGTAAGAGCCCTAATTGGAAAACAGGGTCTGCAAGCTTCCCTTTCTCTAATTACCTCTAACTATCCCTGAAACATATATAATTTATGACTTCAAGAGGTTTCTCTGTCTGCCGGTGGAAATTTACAACTGGTGTGTGAGCTACTTTCTGATTTTTGAGAAGAGTCCATTGTAAAAGGCTAAAGGCAATTTCTTTTCTCTTTATGTTTTTGTTTTCATCTTGATTAGTTTCTTTTATCTTACTGTATTACAAAAAAACCCATTTAATAAAATCTTATTTTAAAAAAATGTAAACTGAACATGTAATTAATAGCTCCTTCTCCATCTGTATTATTCTGCACCTTCTTTGGGTTTCACTTAGTGTACTGAAATCCTCAGTCTGTTTTGGAGTGATTTCTGGATGTGTACAGTGTATGTGCTGTGGGGAAACAGGATCATAATTTCGATTAACTTCTCTGTGTACGGAGGCTATGTACCATGGCTTGTTTCTCCAAAGTGGTTTGTTTACCAGCTGTCCATGCCTTTGTAGTTTTAAGACCTGCTGGGATGGGGTGGTCAAACAAGCCATGGTAAAAGAAGGTTTCAGGCTTCACATGTAACACCAAGCCAAAGTATGTAAGCCAGAAACAAACAATGGCTTCAGATCCCAGTTTGCTGGCAGCAAATAAACCATAGTTGCACTGCTAGTAAGGATTCACAAATCTCTAAACCATGGCTTAATAAACCATAGTTTAGCATTATGCAGAAACCAAGACAAAATCAGAGCTGTATAAAGAAAAATAAAAAGAAATCACAATTTTATTTTAATCTCAATGAGTCACTGGGCAAAATGGTGTATTCAGGGACATCTCTCTTTTCATATTCTAAAAAGTATAATTATTTTTATTGCTGCTATTATTATTATTATTATTATTATTTACTGGGTATTTGCATTCTTGCACTGAAGTGCCTCTAAGTGATTTAAGCAGTAAAAATAAAATAACAAATACATTAAAATAAGAGAAAACCAGTAACAACCCCCCTAAAATACCCATCCAACTATATATTTAAAAGGTACAAGGCCCCACTTAAAGGATGAGCACCATAAAGGCCACAGGGTAAATAAAAATACACTAGCCTGGGCAAATAAGTAAGTTTTTGCCTGGCACCCCAAAGCAGACAGCATTGGTTTACAGTGGAACCTTGGTTTTCAATCATCTCGGAAGTTGAGTACAGTGGTGCCCCGCAAGACGAATGCCTCGCAAGACGGGTTTTGCGTTTTTGAATCGTTCCGCAAGACAAATTTCCCTATGGGCTTGCTTTGCAAGACGAAACGTCTTGCGAGTTCTTGCGAGTTTGTTTCCTTTTTCTTAAAGCCGCTAAGCGCCGCTAAGCCGTTAATAGCGGCTAAGCCGCTAATAGTCGCTAAACCGCTAACAGCCGTGCTTCGCAAGACGAAAAAACCGCAAGAAGAAGAGACTCGCGGAACGGATTAATTTCGTCTTGCGAGGCACCACTGTATTTCAGCTTTCGAACACTGAAAACCCAGAAGTAATTGCTTCGATTCTCGAACGATTTTTGAAAGCTGAACATGCCATGCGGCTTCCGTTTTGAGTTTCCCTATTGTATTGAGGCTTCCATATTGAGTTTTTGGTTTTCAAACATTTTGGAAGTCGAACGGTCTTCCAGAATGGATTACGTTCGAAAACCGAGGTTCCACTGTACTAGTTTACAGCCACCACTGAAAAGCCTTCACACTCCCAGATTGTCAATTCTTTAAGGGAAGCACCAAAACAAGGGACAGACATCCCAAAAATGTAGGGTGTGTGTGAGTTTTGGAGGTTGTTGTCTGGTGTGGCTGTGTGTTGTGTTTGATTTAAAGCAAAGCAACACAAAAATATCATTCGCAGTTGACCAATAATATAGGTTGCAATTTTAATGCCATTTACTCAGGACGAATCCCTACTGAATTAAATAGGTTTTACTTCTGAGTAGACCTGGTTAGGATTATGCTGTAAATCTATGCTGCACTCTTGGGACTCAACTTCTGAGTAAAAATGCTTTAGATTGCAATGTAAAATTGTTGTCTCCGGAATTATTAGATGTTTGTAAAACCTGACATGAGCCAATCCTCATTAAACATCTGTCTGCTCCTGGATCATGCTGTTGGCTATCCAAAGCTGTTCACGGGCAGAGCAGTTTTCCATTGCTATTCTTTCCATGCCTTCCTCTTGACACTAGCCATGCAGGAATGCTGTAGATTTGCAAAAATCCAAATAATGAAAAGCTTTTCCTTAAACGGATTCTGACCCTGCTGTGTCAAGACTTGATTTCAGTTAAGTGATTCTTCAGGCTTCCTGAGCACAACTCAGGCATAACAGGCATGCAAACAAAAACAAGGACTAAAAAGCGGCATTTCTCCTGCCATTTGGGCACTTCATCTCTCAGGTTCAGTTCCATGGAAAACAACTTGACACGGTTGTTATCAGCAGACCTTCTGCAATAAAACAATTTGTATTTTGAAGGTTACAGCTCACAGATTCCTGCTGTCAGTTCTGTAGATGGATGATGAAAGTGTTCCAGAAAAGCTATCAATGTATTAAATCTTGAACCAAAAATAAGTTAGTGTGGCGGAACAGAGGCACCCTTCAGGTGAGTTTTCTCTGCATAGGAACCTCCTTCATTGTTAATAAGGCTCTGTTGCAAGTGGTACTAATTAGGTGTCATCCTCATTTCATAATGACTTGCCACCTTCCTTGTCCTTTGCTGTTGCCTTCAGGCAACTGCTACTCAAAGGTTGGATACCAGAAGACTGAGCCCTAATGAATGGCTGGGTTTGGCAGGGAAAACCTAAAGGCTCTCTGTGTGGGCCTAGAGCTAGGAAGGACTAACTGGAATGTGTCCTTATCTGAGAAGGGAAATAATGTTATGAGTTTGTGGGTGTCAGACCACTATAATCTCTAGATCAGGCTAAAGTTAGAATTTAGTTAAAGCTTGGGTGTTAAAACTGGGTGCCAAACCAGGAGGCATGAATCCCCTGGAATCAGCAAGTTTTAAAAGCTAATTAAGCTAGGTTAGCCTCCTGTGTTGTGGTAATAGGCCACTAAGACTCGGTGTGAAATGGCAAATGGTTGGGACCACTCTCCCTCAATAGATAAAGCCAGAGTTTAGAATAGGAGACTTAGGGGTTATGTGACAGAGCAACAAAGTGGCAGAGCAGGAAGACTGATGGTTGTCTAAATCCAAGGCTGTAGCCGTGGTAAAAACAAGACCCTCTAGAGGTGATTATACTGTGAACTCCTCCATAGGCTCAGGTTGTATATATGTGTAAATGAACCATATAGCATGAAAACCCCACAGTCTCCACTGTGCCTCATTCTCAAAAGGAGACCCTGGTTAAGCTGACTGGAACCCCTGAAATCTCGCACCACTCGGATATTGGGGTGACATGCAACAATACATATGCAACCCAGGGCTTTCACTATCAGGGGACAGGAAAATACTGGTCACAATACATGCATTATACAATGGTACCTCGGGTTACATACACTTCAGGTTACATACGCTTCAGGTTACAGACTCCACTAACCCAGAAATAGTACCTGAGGTTAAGAACTTTGCTTCAGGATGAGAACACAAATCGTGCTCTGGCGGCACAGCGGCAGCGGGAGGCCCCATTAGCTAAAGTGGTGCTTTAGGTTAAGAACAGTTTCAGGTTAAGAACGGACGTCCAGAACGAATTAAGTACTTAACCCGAGGTACCACTGTATACATGAAGAGGCATCATGCAAATAAAGGGTGTGTGGTTCTCAAAAAAGGGGCGAAGCCTAGAAGAGAGGAATGGAGACAAAGACTCAAAAGGCCTCAGTCCACTTTTAACCTTGTCAGAGCAAGTGTATGCCCCTCACTGCTGCCCCCCTCAGCTTACTGGAAGGAAATGCATTTTTCACATGCAGTGTACAGCTGAATCATAAACTGGGAATTAAAATAAGACTGCAGTCCCTGCTTCAAAATTTACTCTATATGCTCTTACCTGCAAGTGAACACAATTAAACTCAGTAGGGCTTACTAGACATGCCCTTGATTGCACTATTAGGCAGCCAGGAATGTCCGTGTCAATTTAGCTCAGTGCATGCACTGCATTACAGAAAGCTGGATGACGAAGAGGCTCAGGGCGGCTGTAATTTCAGCTAGTCCACAAAAGCTTATGCCATAACAAATGTGTTTCTCTTTAGCTATAAAGTAGTTAACATCTGCTTTCTAAGCTGCATTAACAACACTCTGACATAGGCCAAATAGCATGAGCAAACCTCCAGTGTGGTCTTTGTCTTTAATATGACTCACTTTTCAATTCACAAATTAATTCTGCTTATATCAATTCTTCTTGTTTGCTGCTGTAACCTGGTCAGATCAAGTGATACCATATTGCAATTTACCAGAAACAAAGACAAGACAAAATGAAAAAGCCAGTTCAAGGCCAGCTTTTCGAGTTCTTTCAGAATACCAATTATTTTTAAGGGTACTAAAACAACAACAACAGAGTTTACTAGTCTTTTTGTTTTTTAAAAAAATCCAAATTCTTGCTGTGCTTACCCAAATAAAGTACTATGGGCATGACTTCATCACGTACAACCATTGCACAAATTTCATTTACTGGGGTTTAAGGCAAAATAATATTATTCTATGAATAATATCCGTTGTATTTGACCAGCTTTACAGCTGAACAATATTAGCTGAATAATTTATTCATTGAGTGGTGCTGTGTATTTCTTAACAGCAAGCCATTGCTTATTCATCATAAAAATGTACA